ATCTTTTGTAAAAGTAATTAAAACAGAAAATTCATTATATCTCATAAATGAAGACAGATAGGACATATATTTATATGACTTGTTTTCATTATTTTTAGGCGTACAATCAACTCCCGAAATGGGCCCCACAATTTACGAAACACCCTGTATATTAGATTTTATAATATAAGTAGGAAAGTAAAGATATTTTTTTACTTTCCTACTTATATTATAAAATAAGTAGAAAAATAAAGATAGTCTTTACTTTCCTACTTATGTTATAAAATAAGTAGAAAAATAAAGATATTCTTTACTTTCCTACTTATGTTATAAAATAAATAGGAAAATAAAGATATTCTTTACTTTCGTACTTATGTTATAAAATAAGTAGGAAAATAAAGATATTTTTTACTTTCCTACTTGTGTTATAAAATAAGTAGAAAAATAAAGATATTCTTTACTTTCCTACTTGTGTTATAAAATAAGTAGAAAAATAAAAATATTCTTTACTTTTTTACTTATGTTACAAAATAAGTAGAAAAATAAAGATATTCTTTACTTTCGTACTTATGTTATAAAATAAGTAGGAAAATAAAGATATTCTTTACTTTCCTACTTGTGTTATAAAATAAGTAGAAAAATAAAGATATTCTTTACTTTTTACTACTTGTGTTATAAAATAAGTAGAAAAATAAAAATATTTTTTACTTTCTTACTTATGTTATAAAATAAGTAGAAAAATAAAGATATTCTTTACATTCCTACTTATATTATAAAATAAGTAGGAAAATAAAGATATTCTTTCTTCTGAAAAATATTATATAATTGTCACAAAAGCTTCAAACTTTTAGGATAAGCTTTTTCTCTTTCCTTGCAAAATCATAACAGTTTGAATATCCAGCATCCGAATATTCATTTAGAAGTTGCACGGAAATCGGAGTTCCTCTCGTATCGAAAACTGTGCACTTCGTTCGGTATATACTTGTATTTAATATAATTTAAAATAAAAGCAGAGTCACAGTACCTTTTCGAGTTTCCACTCTCGAGATCAAGCCGTTTATTACAAGACGATTGAGTTCAAGTGACTGGATTAACTCGAACGAGGGTTTAAATGCACGACGGAGCCTCGAGTAAAAACGATCGTTCTGCATCGAAATTTGGCGTGCGTGCGGCTGCAGCGCGTTTTCCCCCATTTTTTTCTGTTTTTTCTCTATTTCTCTCTCTCTCTCTCTCTCTCTCTTTCTTTTTTTACCTTTTGTGGAGCCGATGCATTCGAATGCACCGATACGCGCGCCGGAGTCGCGCGAGAGCCCCGAGTGCTTGCGAAATTTCTCTTTGACAGGTTTCCAATTTCCAAATGGCCTGCCGCGAAACTAAATGGATAAAGTCTTTCCAACGGATGTGTGTACCTACTTTAACGTACATGTTTATAAAATGTTTTCAATTTTAATTAACTCTTCGACATCGGCCACGTACTTTCCGTATTCCCTTTAACAACGTTCTCGTGTCTTTGGTTGCCAAATATTTGTCATCGCGAAAAACGTGTCATCTTACGATCGACTATTATCAATCTAACTTCAAAAATTTGTACAAAAGTTCCAAGTGTATCGAACTTATCTTGTACAATTTCCGCTTGCTCGGAAAAAATTCGAGAATGAAAGCGTGAAACCGGGATTGGCCCGCTGTCGTTTCCCGAAACGATTGCGTATCAACGTATATATCCATCGTTGTTTCGAGGCTATACATTTTTAGTGGTTGATTGTGTTCACGCACCCTGCCATTCTGTCATCAATATTAAACGCACGCCAGAGGGGGCTGGGGGTGGGAAGGTGCGTTGGCATTTTGACAAGCTACACTGGGCTTTAATTGACATGGAGATTGCCGTATCGTTGTACGAACGTCGAGCGATATCAATGTTTCTTTGGCTGGTTAATTACCAATTATCGTGCCCCGAAACCGATAAATACCAAATCGGATTATTTTGTTCCGTTAGGTAGCCGAAATCGGAGGCGTGAAATCTGACTCGATCGTTTAACACCGGGCGTTTGACATCTTGATTATCTCAAACACTGTTGCATATATTTCGAAATGATACTGCGAAATTTTACGAACAAAAATATCGCGACGTGATCGTGCCTCGTGAATGTCTCACGCGATTAGGAAATCGAACTGTGAACGTTGAACCAAGCCGATCGCTTCTTACTGCAATCCGTTATTAGTACGAGCGGAATGCAATTAATTCCTCGGTATCGAATATAGACTGATAAACACACGTGTGTCGCAAACGAGACAGATTGCAAAATAGTCAATCAAGGTTGATATTTCCATAGCGGATGAGAAAAATATACTGGCAAAATATATTTTTATAGTTCACTGTGTACAAAAGTAACGCACACTGTAAAATATTTTCAATAACTTTATAAAATAATATAAATAATATTAAACTAAATAACTATTAAATAATATTAAACAATATTAAAATAATGTAGAGTTATAAAATAATATAATACGAGCAATGTAAAAATTTGAGAATCAAAATGATATTGACGCATGAGCGACATTTTTAGTGGTCTTTAATAATGAGTTACGTAGTGTAAAAATCTCTATCGTGTATTTAAATAGAATGTAAAACTTGCTTTCGATTTCTAATAATATGATTTCTAATAATACAAATATTATAATAACATAAAAATTTAAGAGTCAAAAAGATACTAATACAAGAAGCATTTCTTTGCATATAAAAAAAATATATAAAATAATACAATAAAATAATGTACAAAAATATATAAAATAATATAATAAAATAATATACAAAAATATATAAAATAATGTAATAAAATAATATACAAAAATATATAAAATAATGTATAAAAATATATAAAATAATACAATAAAATAATGTATAAAAATATTTAAAATAATACAATAAAGTAATCTACAAAAATATATAAAATAACATAATAAAATAATCTACAAAAATATATAAAATAGTATAAAAAAATATTATAAAATAAAACAATAATACATAAAATAATGTAAAAAAGACACGGTTATACGAAAAAAGGCATCAATGACCTCGAAAAGCCTTTGAGAAAAAAAGAACTTTTTGCATCATCGCAGTTCGAAAAGATTAGAATGGTCTCGCCTAAATGAACCACCCTGTACAAGTACAAGTCTCCGACTGACAATGAGCGGCGGAAAGACGATCGGTGACGAACGAATGAATATGACAGGAACAGGAACCTTGTACCAATTCGAAGGGTATTTCAATTACTTAGCCCGACGTACGATGTGCATGGAATCTAACGAAGCGATCGTGAACGAGGAACATGCAACTCGTGCTAGTACGACAATGATCACGTGCGTGACTACGGTGACGTCCGCGGCTGTAATACCGCCAGTCAGTTTATCAATGGGCCAACGCTGGTAATCTACCGCGGCTGACGTGCATGAATATTCGCGAGCCACGGTGAAATCAGGCTCGATGTTCAATTAGGACTCCCTCCCACTGACGTGACATTGCTCGTATACATTAGCCCCGAGAGTCTTAAGTTTGACCGGTCAATTAAAGACGATCAATTTCTTCTCTTCCCGCCGAGTATCTAGAAAAAAGAGAAAAATGTCTCTTGCAATCCTTTTGATCAGTCGAAACATTTCAATGAAATTCACACACACATACACTGTTTTCCAGATTTATCGATATGCAACTTGTTGGACTGATTAATCTTTTTCTTTCGTCCAGACGACATCGTTGTCCCCACAACCTGCCGCAAGATCACCTCGAGATCCCCCGGGACGAGCCGGTGCACGCGGTCACCTCGTATCGCGAGGAGTTCGACGAGAAACGCGTCGACCGGCAAACGGTGTACCATCATGAGGACCACCTTCGGATGGAAGGTGAGTTCATCGGCGAAAGGCGGACAGACTACGCGGCGACGAGAGGCGAGAGGGCGCCGACGAGGAAACCGCAGGACAATCTGAAACCGGAGGGTGAGTTTACCGGCAGACCCAAGGAGGAAGCGCCGAAATATGGAGACCAAGCTCCCGTCAGAAGACCGCAGGACAATCTCAGACCGGAGGGGGACTTTGACAGTGAGTTATCATTCGACGAGCGTCGATGATTTTTCAGAAATCTCCAACCTTTGTTTTTCCTGTCGTTGCCCGCGTACGATTCGTGGATTTTCATTTGTCACGTGCAGCCACGACCACCACGGAGCTGGTGTTCACCGGTATTCCCGGCGAACGGCCAAGCCCGGTGCGCCGCAACACCTACACGAAGATCGAGGGCGAGTTCATCGACGCGACCACCACCAGATCCGAGTACGTCGATCATCGAACCGTTCAACGCGCCGAGATCATCAAACGTACGGATAACCTCACGGTGGGAGAGGGTGAATTCACGGTGAGCGATGTTCGATCACGTAGAATTGGAGACTTTAATAATAATGATAGTAATCCTTTGCAAAAAGTGTTCGTGAAAGTGTATCCAATGTTCGAAACATTGTCGATATTTACGCTGTTGTAGAGAGAAATCGTGCAAGGATGAGCTTATTTCAAAGGTTGACGCCTCTACTTTCTGTTTTATTCTAAAAATGTTTTCACATCAACAGCTGGAGAAGTGTTCCACTCGAAAATACTATAAATTGTAATAATATGTAGAAATATTGAACAATTCCTCTCACGGCCGAATCTAGCGTGTATTTGAAAATTGAAAATCTTCCTTTTACAACGAATCCCGCGGATTTATTGAACTTTGAACGTTACAAATTTTTCAATTCTCTTCGTCTGAGCCGATCGTTCAAAGTTCAATAAATTAGCGAGAAGAAATCGTAACAGCTAGCTTCGAACTACAACCTTCAAATCCATAGATGGATATCCATAATGAAAAGTTTTTCACTATTTTTATACGCCGTGACAAATTTTCGACAAATGTGATTTAGATACATCTAGAAATAAAGTGAAATCCGAGCTCCGAAGCAAAACCGAGATTTGTTGTTCTAATTCGAAATTACAACGGTCAACAATTTTCCGAAACGAGCGACTGTACATCGGCTCGTGTTCCAAAAGCGTTAATCCATCGTCCTAGTTACCCTTATCACTACCTACAATCGCTGATCGAGTACGAAATATTCTTCAGGGTGCCTCTCATCTCAAGGAGGATTTTCACACGTACGACATCGTGGAGAGGGAGCCTCGGCGACGAATCACCTACACCGACGACGAGGATGACCGATTCTACAGCAAGACCGATATCGTGGAAAGCACGACGACGAGCCAAGAACAGTACCGTAGCTTCGATCAGACTGATTACAGAAGCACCGCCGTGATCAGACGGGGCGACAATTTGAGGCCGGAAGGGCCGTTCGAAGGAGTGCCTCACACCAAGGACGACTACGTTGTGCCAGCGATCACCAGGAGACCGGAGCCACAGAAACCCAAGGACAATTTGCGGCCGGAGGGGCCGTTCGAGGCGAGACCGAAGGACGATTACAAACCGACCAGAGGCGAGAGAGCCGACGTGAAGAGGCCTCAAGATAATCTGAGGCCGGAAGGACCCTTCGAAGGACGTCCAAAGGACGATTATAAACCGACCAGAGGCGACAGAGCTGATGTTAAGAGGCCTGAAGATAATTTGAGACCGGAAGGACCCTTCGAAGGACGACCCAAGGACGATTATAAA